GGGTGGAGGCGGTGGTGGCAGGCGTCGCTTGGCTCGGCGTGGGGACGCTATCCGGGAGGGAATGCCAAACGCTGGTACTCGGTACTCGTAGGGCCCCCAGGCCTGGCGCACACCTACGCCGATCCAGCTACTTGCACAGATGATTCCTCCGGGCTGCCCAGCTCAGTGCGGGCGTGGCGGCGTGGCGGGGGACCAACCCGCCGGGCCTTGGTGGTGCGAGAGGGAATGCCAAGCGGGTTGGTACTCGCTACTCGGGGGTAGCACGGCCTCCTGGCGGGCCTCTCTAGGTCGGGTTGCACTACGCATTGCACTGCACTTTCACTATATCACTACAAAGCACTACACTGGGTTGCGGAGCACTGCAAGCATTGGGCAACAACACGCTACACCAAGGGACACAGAGCCGAGCACTACACGGCACTACACTGCACTACAGTTCACTACTATGCACTACACTGCACTACGATGCACTATTTGCACTTGTTTCGCACTGTTTTGGTCCTTGGCCGGCCCCGGCAGGAGGCTCTCCTCAGCGCAGCCTCCCGGCGCGCCCCGACGGGGGCCGACCCCTCGGGCCCCGCCGGGCCGCTCCGTGCGGCTGCGGCAAAAGGGCACGTCCTCCCCCTACCAGGCCTGGCCCCGAACTCCGGAGGGGGTTGGAGCCAACCAGCCCCAACAATGGGGCCCAGGCAGGGCCGCCCGAGGCAGGGCAGGCAGGAGGCAGGCGACCGGCTCGGTGGCCGGGTGACTTTGACACTTAGACTAAAAACCTAAAATTTTAACAGATGATACCTTAAAAACCTTTTGACTAAACATAAAGAACATATAAATATAAGTAACTTTAAGGTGTCAGCTAGCTTTTACTATCGATGAGTGCAGAGAACCAAGTGCAGACCAGAAAACAATTTCTTTGGCGCTGGGGGACCTAGTGTGGCTGTGTGGCTGTCGCGTCAGGCCCCTACCCTTACCCTACCTAACAATACAATTGGCTCCCCGTCCCCCCGTCCCTGCACAACAATACTAGCCCACCGACGCCGGCCGCTCTGCCTGCTCTGCCTTCGCCTTATCTCCCCCTCAACGCCGCTTGTACGCTGAATTACAAAATTGCAAGTAATAACAAGCAACCATAAACAAATGAAAGTTAAATATGAGAGAAAATTAGAAACAAGACCTATTCTTAAACTTGTATCATCTGCTTTCAAGATAGATTCTTGATTTTCTTAAGAGTTCTCTAAATAATACTATTTAACTCGAAAATGAAAACGAACTGTTGGAATCGTTGGAATGAAGACCAGTGTTTCCAAACGAGAGTGGTGCAATTTCTACGTCTGTAGGTATTGTGACTTGTGAGATGAAAGTGGAATCATGTTAAGCTGTTAAGCATCACTTCGCACCGAGAACAATACTCGTTCTTCCACCACCGACTAGGTGAGGGTGGGTGGTAAAGAACGAGTAAAAAGTGAGACTAAAATTTAAGTACTGAAAAGTTTGCGATAACCAGTCGCGCCACGCACAGAAACTAGTTACTAAAGTGGGTTAGTGTGTACAATGTCACGCGCATTTCCCTTCGATTGATTATGGCACACTTTAAATAAAGCGATGTCGAAGTCAGTGGCGCGGCGTGGCGTATGGGTAGTCACCGAGGTGGTCACTCCCCGGGGTCCTTGCCCTGGTCCTGGACCTGACCCCCTGACCCTGGCCCTCCCTGTCTCCTGCCGGCCAGAGTCACTTACACGACGATAAGGTGGACCTAATCAGATGGCAGTTGAGTCGACACGTTATCAGGAGGGGTTTCTTGGTCCATTTCGAAGACATAACAACTGCAATTTGATTGGTGGCCAGAAAAGTCTCGGACGTTTCCAACTTTCGGTATTTTTAAGGACTTTCATTTTGTGATTCAGGTGCAAAAGTAGTTCTAAAGGGATATGCTTCGTTCCATGATTGATTTTACTATGTTCTTATTTGATGATTGTTTTTTTGCATCACCTGGAACTATTCGTCAGTGTTCCTAGAGTAAATTATGACAAAGAATTTGTCTGTCTGTGTTGCTGAAGGGCTGATGAAGATCTTCACTAGGAGCAAATTTTGGAAAATTAAACCTAGTGCTACTAGGATGATCTTTGAGTTTTGTATCTAACTATAGTGTGATCTGCCTGTTTCAGACAAAAACTTACATCACCCAAGTGGAACAGGTTTAAAGGCATTCGGTTAAGATGGAAAGAGAAAATTCGCCTCAACAATGTTATCTGGCGATGCTGGCATATGCAGTGTGAGTATTAATTGCACTATATTTATTTCCTCATATATGTTCTTTAACAAGGTTTGAGGGAGATTTATTATGTAAGAGTTGTTAGCTTGCCTATTTGTAACAACCAATTTTTTTTTATCACAGTCATTCTCAAACAAAGCACTTTGGTGTGTCAGTTTGCCTCCCCATTGGATGTCGACACCCACAACAAACCAGAAGTAAGTTCGTTGTCTGTCTTCTCTCTTCTTTGTATTGGGGAAACAGATACATGGCTTCATTTCAATCAACTGAAGCCCCACAGTAGAATTGAACAATTGCTACAACTCTCTGGGGTGTACACGAAATTAGATTCCTTGGTGTCACTAGGAATAGGAACCTTATAGAGGAGTATCTTTGGAGTACAATAATACCTGTCAGATCCTAGATAACTTTTTAAACTTTAATTTTAAAACTCTACCTGGCTGATGTGCACGCGTGTTTTTACAGGCTGTTGTTTTGGAGGGAAAGTACTGGAAGAGAAAGCTTGCTGCTGTCACTGCAGAGTACAAAAAATGGCGGATGTACAGAAGAAATCGGATTCTTGGCTGTGCCAAAGATGGGTGTGATATGGTAAGATACCTAGAAATTGTGGGGCTGATGGGTGTCACAGTCGGTCCAGCACATGCCTCAAGCTTGTGTTTTTATTGTAATACTTATGGTTGTCGTTCTTATTGCAGTTCAGTGACGTTGACATGCTAGACTGGCAGCCAGACAGCAATGACTCATCATCAATGATGTCTATGATGGTGGACCAAGATTACATGGAATTCATGAGTGATACATTGTTTTCTACTATTCAGTCAAATCAGCCTTTTGCCTTTCCTGACACTCGAGAGATAGGTATGAATTCCTGAAAATTCCTTTCATCATTTTTCACTTGCCTATTTGAATTTTTAAGCCTAATTATTCTTTCTTTTCTTTTTTTTTTTAAAAAAGCTAAGGGAGCTGGCCTGGCAGACTTCATTCAACCAAGCTTAGTTCAACTTCAACCAAATTTAGATGACTTTATGGATACATTAGAACCACTTCAAGGTAATTTATTTTATTTCTTTTCAAATGTCAGCCATGAGTTACTTTTACTTGCAATGACATCTAACTTTGTTTCTATTTCAGAGCTGTTATCTTACAGACTACCTCCAGTACCTGAAGAAGCCATTGCAGATGATGTTCTTTTGAGAAGTTTACCTGCTACAAGTGCCTCATATCCAGATCTGAGCAGCAAATCAACTTCAGCAATATCAATGATGTCAACCATGGTAAAACCCCAAATCCTTATAACTAACAATTTTGTAACCTACCTCTAGATTTCAGAACCTCTAATTATTTTAACAGGGAATGTACCAGCAAATGAATGATCCATATCGGCAACCAGAGTATGTTAGTGTAGAATCATTGGGTTCAGAGACTCTTGACAGTAGGGCCCTGCAAGCCACTTTCTCTGAATCAGATCTTCAAGTACCACTGCAACTCATACAAGAACAGCTTCAACAGCAACAGTCATCCCCACTTGTATCACAAATAAGTCAGCAGCACATTCAACCTAGCCGATCTCCTAATAAAACTCGAACGGTGCGGTCAGCTGCTCAATCTAAATCTCGTCCAATAAATCAAGCACCTCATCAACAGGTGATGAGGAAACAAACAGCCCATGTGGTAATAATTTGTGATCCAAGCCATTATTAATTCTTATTCCAAATATTGTGTCAAATCTTTCTATTTATAACTTTCCTCTGTTTCTTACTAGTCTCCTCATCATTCTCATCCCATGCATCAACAGCAACAATATCAACAACCACCATCAGAACAGCCAACGCAGACAGTTGGTTATCAGCTATACCCTCCATCGTCACCTGTTCTGTCACAACCCCAGCCCCCTCCATTACCTCTTTCAATGGCTGAACCTCCTCCACGTGCCTCAATAACCCAGGTAGGGTAACTCCAATTGGACAAATTTTATGATCAATGTAAATGTTTCATGGTTAGATTTTTAAAACATATTTTTTCCTGCCCCCAGGTGAAAATGCCTACCCAATCATACATGAGTCAAATTACCATGGTGCAAAATACACACCCAGCACAGCAAGCTGCAATTCCGCCTGATTCTTTTAAATTCAGTACAAATCTAACACAAAGAAGTTTTAGTTTACCTTCTCCTCAAACTGCATCTGCATCGTAAGTTTGTTTCCACTGATTTTTTGGAAGAAGCGTATAGTTTTGAAATAATAATGAATCTTGTCGCAGATATACAAGCAGTGGATCAAATTTACGTAGTGTGACCACTGGGAGCATGAGCAATATTCACACAGCAAGTTTAAGCAACACAGAAAAAATTACTCCAACAAGATCAGAGACCGAATTGTTTGCCATGCCAAAGGTATGGAACCATAACCAGTTTGTTGCAGTTTTAAAATTTTGTTCAGATTTTTTTTTATTGTTTTAACACCTATTTCTGATCTTCTATAGGTGACAAAGTTGAGAAATCGCTCTAGAAGTGGGTCAAGTTTATTACCAGGCAATTCTGCCTCTAATAGCAGCTCAAGTAATCTTAACACTTTGGGTTCTACCATGGGAGCTAGAGGTGTACGACCACTGGTCTCAGCAGCGAGCAACCCTGATCTCTCTACAAGTGCTCTGTTGGCCCAACTTTTAACCTCAAGTGAGTACCCTAAATGTCTTTCAAAGGATTTCATTAGAACCGTATTGTATTGCAATTTTTCTCATGTACAGATTCATCTCCCGTTTACAACTTCACTGCTGGGTCAGATTCACCAACAAGTAGTCGCACACCAGTAAGCAAAAGTCATAATATTCCCATTCTGCCTATGCCATCTGCAGCTACACCTCAATCTGCTCAAGTCCCCCATACAACTGCTCTACTTATTACATCATCTGTGCCAATGACCATACAGCCAAGTTCCAGTACAGCACAAGTAAGTGTAGTCATGCTTACATGTTTATTGTCTTAGATTTTTTTTCTTTCATACTGTTATTCTTTTGTGATCTTATACTAAATTTGCTTTGAATGTATTTTAGTTAATACTCAATTCTGCTGCTACTGCCACAACCTCAAGTGGTATTGTTGCTACCAGCAAAGGATCAGATACTGCTAGCGACAGCTCAGCTGTTCCATCTCCAGTTGGCCTTAGTCTATCTCCTCTTAATATGGAAAATATGTCACCACCACAGCCACTAAGAGCTGATGCAGATTTTAGAACTGGCAAAGTAGCAGGACGAGGTGTAAGTGTGCTTTTCTTAATTGTTCTAATTTTTAACTTATATTGTGTCCTACGCTTAAATAACAAATCTGTTTTTCCAGGAACATAGACGTGTTTGCCACATAAATGCAGAGCAAAAGAGGCGGTGTAATATTAAAAATGGCTTTGATATGTTGCATTCACTTATTCCTCAACTACGTCAGAATCCCAATACAAAGGTAATATCAGTCACTGGGATTTTGTCATGTAATCTTATCTGGTACAGTTTAATATATTATTATTCATCTATATTTTAAAATTTGCAGACAAGTAAAGCTGCAATGCTTCAGAAAGGTGCAGAATACATTAAGCAATTAAGAGGTGAACGAAATAAATTGAAAGAGGAAATGGATGATTTAAGACAAGAAATTGACAAACTTAATTCTGCCATTAGGTAAAGAAAGCCTGAAGTTGTAAGGTTCTTATGGTTAAGTCATCCCTAAAATCAAGACATTAAATTTTCATTTAACTTTTAGCAACTGCCAGTCAATGCTACCAGCAACAGGGGCCCCCGTGTCTCGCCACCGAGCGAGTAAAATGCGAGAAATGTTCGACGAATATGTTAGATCTCGAACCATGGAAAATTGGAAGTTTTGGATTGTATCCTTTATTCAGATAAATTACTCTTTTTTCATTAGAATTTGATGCAACATGCTTTATTTTTTCTTAACTCTCTGAACAGTTTAGTTTATTAGTAGAACCATTACTTGTCTCTTTCAACAGCTCTGTTTCAACCTCTAGTGTAGACGAACTTTACAGAACAACTATGCAATGGGTTGAAAAGCATTGTTCTTTAGTTGAACTACGTCCAGGTTAGTAAATATCAGTGCATAACAATGACAATTGGCATCCATAAAATCTTCTAATAATTTCTATTCTTCCAGTTGTTTTAAATTCTCTTCGGTACCTGTGCACATCAACCGAAATTTTATCAGACCCAACAAGGCTGCCCGAGGAAGCTCGGCAAGCTGTTCTCAAAAATGAAGGCAATGGCGGTGGGGCCAGCGGCAGTACAAGTACCAGCAGCAGTTCACACCAGCCTCATTGACTTGCTCGAGTGACTCTTGAAATGTGTATATAAATATATATAAATATTCCATTGATTGCTCACAAATTATTTACGCTTAAATGTGCAACTTTGTGGTTTAAACAGAGTTGTAGCACGCAATATACTGTGCATTTCAATTTTTATTAAAGAATTGATGAGTTAATTGTGATAACAGTGCATAGTAGAAATAAGCTAGTCAGGCAAAAAAAAAATTACTGTTGCTTAGCACAATATGAACTTAATTATTGTGAGATGAGTAGAACTGGGTTTGCATATCAGGTTAAAATTTCTCCCTATTTCCTTTTTTTAGGTTA